AAACACGGTCGCGGGGTCCAGTTTCGAGGGGAATATCTCAGCGGGTAGAGGAACGAACGCCTCAATTAGGCATCGCCTCCGCGGGCTGCTGGTCCTTTCGTTCTACTGTTGTGCATCGCGTTGGGACCAGTGGCCCGCGGAGGCGGTGCCTAATTGAGATGTTAGTTCCTCCATCCTATCTCAGCCATTACAGCACTACTGAGCTGCCGCTTGGGCAGTGCCTTAGTTAGGGCCCCAAAAGTACTTTCCACGTAAAAGCCCCATAGGTCCAGATCTGCCTGGACGCTGCCTTCAAACACTCGCATGAAGGAACATTCGGCAGATAAAAGGCATAAATTCAATTGTCACCTTTGGACAGGCATGGGAATGTAACGCATGGTGTGGATGATTTTACGTCAGAGGTAAGGCTTTGACTTACGAAAAGGAAACCTCGGCAAGCATTTCGATTTCAGCGAAGGCTCATAAACAACAGAAATGACTTCTGTCAAAAACCTTCAACTTCTTTCCTTTCATATCGTTATGCAATTTGTAGATGACATTCACTGCTCATCTATGAAATATTTCATTTTTCGCTGATCATATTGCAGTGCGGAAACTCATATAGTGGTAGTCTGTGAGCATGTTCACTTTTCTGACGTTTGCAAAACGGAAGTTAGGTGGAGGTTAGGATTAGGAAGAATGTTTGGTGATGTGAGGCTACAGATAAAACTTTGAGCCATTTTCAAGTTTCTGGGAAAGGAAGGATATCAGGTCGCAGGCAACCGAAATGATATGCATGTCATTAGATGCGTCTTGATGAGCTGATTCCAAATCTAAATACCTTTCTCATCTGCTAAGCGCTTCCCTAGAAGAAGCCATGGGCGCTACGTGAAGTCATAGAGGTTTCGATGCGTAATGTGCTCTGAAAACCAGCTTGGGAGTGATTAGTTGGCATTGTTCTGAGTACATTAGTTACAAGGAATGCTTCCATACACCGAACTCATAAGCAAGTGTTTTTGGACAGTGAAGATGTGGCACAGGATGTTCACCAAAGTTTGACATTCATGCGCTAATAACCTCTTCTAGAGAACCGCTTAGCAGGTATGGAAGTTAGATTTTGAATCAACTCATCAAAACGCATCTAATGATATGTATATCGTTTCGGTTAGGTGCTGCGATCTTTTATCCTTCCCTTGTAGGTTACAGCCTGTCCCAATCCCAATCAGTCCAAAATTGGCAGACTACAGACGAAGACGTCAAAAGGTTGACCCGATTGAATCAACAAAGATCACCCAACAGTTGGATTAACGGTTACCCAACGAACTTGCGGCATCAAAAACATTGACAGTCGCTTAGATTTCTTATTTTGGCAATGAGTGTTTTCAATAGTTCATGCGCTTTCGTTTGGTTGATTCTATAATAAATCAATTTGATTCATTCACGCATTTGTGATGAAGACAAACATCTGTTTTTACCTTAGGCAAACCTTCGAATTTTTGCCTAGAAAATTCGCATAATTCCCTTCTCAGAAGCGCTTTGCAAAATTCGGAAGCAGACTTGGAATCAGCGTTCTTTGCTCTGTAAGAAAGTAAACATTTCATATAAAAGCTTTACTTCGATTATACTTCCCTTGTCAGAAAGGTTCCCCATAATTCTTCGTAATTTTTTTCCTTCATTGTTGTAGATTAACCCACTTGGCAGTTCTCAGTGTATAAATCAGAGCTTAAATAATGAAATAAAGAGATGAATCTTTAAATCGGTTTCGACCATGTTTTTCATTTTGACAAGGAATCGCTAATGGAAGAATTTTATGATTAATGTTGCCGATTTGGTGCAAACATGTCGAAGTTCCATTTTTTTTTGCGAAAAGCCGCCCAAATGCAAGCATTTCGTGATATCAATGACGCTTCAAGCGCGGCATTGCAGTTTTCATACCTTGTTATTCCTGTTTATTTCAGGTTGTTTCCTATATTCTGCTTGTTTTGCTGATCTGCTTTGACTCGTTAGAGAGTGATTTTTTTTTACATCGGCGCTTCCGTTGTAGTATTTACGCTATTTTCAGGGCCCGGCACGAGGTGGGCAAACGGGGTTTTCCAAAACGATCAAATTTCCCTTTGATCCCAATAAATTTTACGAATACCCCTTTGAGCCCAAAAATGACGTTTTGTGCTTGTGCGACGAGATTACCGGCCACACTTCGCCTAAAAGCGCTCAAAAGCGCCCAAATTGCTCAAATTCCTCAAATTACTCCTCAGCTGTATCAAGATAGAAAACAGGAAGAAAAATAAGCAAGAAAAATGATTAAGGAATGAGAAAATATCAAAGAAACGCAGTCATAGGAATGAGAGACGCCGTTCCCGCGCGTATCGATTGACTGGGGCGCGCTTTCTGTCTAAGAAAGCTAGGCTGCTGATGCGATTTTGGGCTCTAACAAGGACAAGAGGAGGAGTTTCGGAACCAAAATTTCACCATGTAGTAAACTTTAGGTGTACAGCAGATATGTAAAAATTTTGAAAAAATTATGTGAATTGAGAGTTTTGCCGACCTCAGGTGGGAATTAGGTCGGCAAATGCCGACCTAATTTGGAAATTAGTTAAGCACGTTCTTCATTCACATAAGTTTGTCATAATATTTCATACTTTATTACTTAGTCCTATTGCGCATATACACACCGAAACCCGCGCGATTTCGTTACCTCTGCGTTGCAAACGAGCCATTTTTCCATTTCTTTGATAGCGCAAAATTTTCAGAAAAAAGTTTGCCACAACCTTCAGTCACAAAATTTTTCTATGAAACTCCTCAGTTAAGCCCTGCAAGCCCGTGTGCATGTACTTACCAAGTTTCATACCATATCGTTCATCTGCGCGTTCCAAACGAGCCGTTTGAATTCACATCTTCATTTAGCAGTTTTGCGAAATTCTCGGAAAAAATGCTAATTACTCGTTCCGTTCACATAAGTTTTTCATAATTTTTCATACTATGTTTCCACTAGCCTCTCTCCGTACGCATACAAAATTTGGTGCCATATCGTTACACATACATTGAGAACTAGTCATGTATGCAGTTACAAATAGCATCGCTTGGGCGACGTCGCGCGTGCGGCAATTAGCGACGGCGCGGTTTGACGTGCGCGAACTCCAGCGTTCGCCTGTTGAGGCACATAACATGTCAAGATAAATAGCGAGCATGAACTACCAATTTTTTTCCGGGGCTCCGCCCCGGGCCCCGCAAAAACGATTTCCCCTTTGCTTTTTGGCCCCAAAACGATTTCCAGCTTGTCATTTGCCGACCTCGTGCCGGGCCCTGGCTATTTTTTCGAATGCGGCGGGGTAATCAGTAAAAGACAGCAAAAAGTAAAAGGCGTATAAGTTACTAGCATTTGGTTGTATCTTTTCGTTTGTGATGGGTACGTTATCCTGCATGAGTAGCTTTTCTTGCTCAGACATTATTGAAGTACGAGCATCTCTTTTCTGTTGTTCGAATGTCTAGGACGACTAGCCCCATCTCAACAGTAATACATTTTACATACAACATATTTCATAGTTCAAATGGCACACCTAAAGTATAACGATAAAGACGAAGATAGAAAGTGTGTTCTTCAGGTTAATTTCTAGCAGTGAGTTCAGAAACATTTTTTTCATATTTAGGGGTCTCTCACTCAGAACGATGAGCAAAATAGCGCAAACAATGTCGCTGGAAACAGAAACGACAGCACGGGGATAAACATTCAAAAACGTTTAAAAAATGAGATTGACTTCGACGTGCATTTTTACTCTAGAGAAACGATTTGTTTTTACAGCTTTTTTTATTTGTCCTCTGTTTGGTAATTGCAGCTCCTAAAACATAATTGCTCTGAGAGAATCGCGGAAAAGAAATTAGCTTTTTCTCGTTTCTCCTGAGTTGTGGAGCGGTGGTTGTAGCGAAAGCTTGTGATTCCAGGTACCGTCAATCGAGATTTCGAAATTTATTGCAGCATTTCAGTCAATTTTCGACAATTTCTTATGTTTCGATATTTGATTCAATCTCTATTCTTTAATTCTCTAGCTCTTTATTCTCTAGTTTTTGGAGCACTTGCGAAATTTCAAAGCGTCTACATTTGCTCAAAAGTGTGCAAGTCAATGGCTTTCTAGCAAATTTTTCGGAGGCGACAGGAAGGAAGGGGTGCGACAAAAAGTTTTCAAATAAAGGGGCATTAAGCATGCTTAAATTTTTGAGACACTTCAAAAGATCTTTGTCAGGCCTGTAACCCCAAAATTTCACAAGAAGGTGTTTCGATAGTCACGATGATTTCTTCTCCAAAGCCACCAGGTTTCAAAAGTTTTTTTGAAAATTCCCTCAATTACTTACAAGTAAATACAAGTCTTCACAATCTCATATCTCATGTAGATAACTCGCAAAAATTTTGCGACCCATTCTTGGAGGTTGGAGGCGCTCTGTTTTGCTTTGGTCTGCCACTGCTGCAAGCGACTTGTTTTTAACGACAAATATAAAATTTGTAAAGTTTGTCTAGAAAGTGCAAACAAACAACTGCAGCTTCTCGTTACGACTGCATTATCATTGTAGAAAGTGACGCCGACTGAATGAAACATAAGAACTGGTGTGGACCTTGATGAGATCCGACTTCTAGCGGCATAAGCTGATCCGATCCAGTTTTGAAAGGAATCCTTCTCGCAGTTAGTTCGGGTCATCACCAGCACATGCTTACACCAGCAGATTTTTATGCCATATTTTGAGAGCATCCATATGTCCCTTCATGTTTGAATTTTATAAGGCTCGTTCATTACCACAACCCTATTTTTTTTTTGTTCCCTATGGTATTTACAATTCTTGCATCCGAGTATGACAGCTAGAATGGAGTTGCTACACAATTTTCAGTAACAGTAAGCAAATTCTTTTGAAGGTTTGATTTCGAAAAAAAAAAGAAATTTAGGGACATTTTAGCGTTTCTTTGATAACTCTTCAATCATGCAGCTCCTTGAAAGACCTACAGTGTTTTGCAGTAGACAACAAGCTAACTCTTTAGATACGTGAACTATGCTCCGATCACTTATTCTTCTACTGCTAGTTACTGGAGCGCAATCGATGGTTGACCACGAAGAGCGGGAGATAATTCTCACCGCACATGGAATGAGCATGGATGATGTCGAAAACCGCGTTGTCATTCCCTGTTCGTTGAACTTTCGCATTTTCATACCTGGCTTCATGTGTGTTCGAAAATGAGCACTTAGCTTTTTTTACAGTACAAGATGGTCGTATACCTCCACTACCATGTATCATGGCCAATGCTGGTATGCATCAACATGGAGAGACATTTACGAAGAATAACTTTCACTATCAGTGTAAAAATGGGACAGCCGAAGTAGTAGGTGATTACGACCGCATATCAGGTTACATATCAAAATATTGAAGAGGAGAGTACACAGCAGTTTGGTATTGAAAGAGCAGCCTAAGATAATGTGGGAATTTTACACTACCCCATTTCGCGGCTAACGGGAAGTTACTTAGCTTAACTCGGCCTTTCAAGAAGAGATATTTTTGGAATAAGTTTGGGACGCTTATTTCATGTATGTTATCGGTAGCTGCGGCGCATCGTTCGGAAAAGAGTTATGACGACTTTTTTTCATGTGACTCGCTTTCACCGGCAAGTCTAGGAAAATTCGAAAACATCTATTCTTTGGCTTGGCGGCCAGTTGAATTAAAGGATAGATGCTTGGAAGGCGGGGCTTCGTGACCTAATTAAGGCTAGATAATGATTAGAGAACACGCGCGCGACAGAGACGCAGACTGCGTCGCGGTAGCGGTCTTAATTAGGTCACAAAGACCCGCCTTCCAGCCACCAGGCCAGTTGAATCAAAGGTTATGTAAGGTTATGTGGTAAAGTGGCAAGTGTCTGACTTCATGCTCTGAGAATCCGGAGTGTTGGCGCTTCTTCGTTTTGCACTTTTCGAAAGTACCCATTGGTCAGCTTGACAGTGGATTCAAGTTGGGGAATGGAAATTTGACCATGAAAGCATTGAATTTTGGATCAAGTACTGTCCCCATTTCGGCTACAAATGACTATTGAACCGTTTGAACAACTACGTATGTATTAACGAACATTGGCGATACATAATCAATGCTCAGTCAATGCTACGATCATCATTGCTCATAAATACTTACATTTGGATGTTCAAACTATCTAGAAATTATTTGTAAATGAAATCGGGACAGTACTTGAAAAAATGTGTTTTCATGATAAAATTTCCCATTTCCAACATGAATCGACTATCAAGCTGATTATTGCGCACTTTTGAGAAGTTGCGGAGCGGGGAACCATCAGCAAGACCCCTGACCCTCAGAATATGAAGCTAGACACTCAATACTCTACCATACAACCTTCACTATAATTTTTCCCCTAGACTTGCCGGTGGGAAAGCAGGTCGTCATAGCTCCCTTGGGGACGATGCGCCGCAACTAAGGCAGCATATTTGGCATCAGCAAGCAAGCTGACTCAAAAAGATGTGCCTCATTTTGAAAGACCGAGCTAAGCTAATTAGCTTCCCTTGTAACTGTACCGGTACCTCTCTCACACATTTCATCGGCTTTTCAGCTTGCATCGCTGATGATCAATCTGTGATTCAATTGGGTAGAATATTCGTGCGAAATGGTATGAAACATAAGTGCAGCATTGTTGGAGATTCAGTGACCTATGAGCAAGGTATGTAGCAACTTCTCAGATGAAGAGTCTGATCTTAATTACTAGTTGCTACTTCCAGAGGCGATGTGCTTTGACAATGGTATTCATTACTCAATAGGCGACACATTTCGTAACGGCTCATTCAAGCTTAGGTGTGGTCAAGATGGAATCGTCATTGAAGGTATGTGAACTTCTTAAATGAGTAAAGCAGACCGATTAGCACGGCTCTACCTCGGACCATTGGCTCTGGTAAGGCAGCATAAGAAGCACTTTTGCGAAGATTGAAGTAAGCGCCAGCGAAAGGTTCCAGCAAGCGTCCATGATCCTCTTTGGGTCAGAAAATGGCTGCAGAGAGCATCCTTTGCTAAAATGGCAACCAGCAGAAAACGAGGCAGCAGAGACTTTTTGGAGCTGACAGCGACGTGAGGCGGTGGGGCGGGATGCAGATTTTGTGAGCAGGTCGCAAAAAGTCTTTAAGAGGCCAACCTTGATTCGCGGCGCGATAATATGGCTGCCCGCTCGAGACATCACCGACGTACTGGCAACGTTAAATGAGCAGGCTAATCAAAAGCGGCAGAAAGGTGGATTTGAGTTACGTTCCATTGTGTCCGTGTGCTCGTGTATACGGTTTTTTCGGTTTTATCATCAAATTATACTCTAATAAGCTTCGAGTCTTTTTATCTTAGCGTTACTTTGTTCCTTCCTACTTGGCTTGCCTTCTGAATCAACCCTACGCTATGTTCTTTTATGAAGGACAATCATAAAATCGCGACAACTTAAGCATAGTCTGTGTCCTGAGATTTTCTGATTACCACCGCGAGCAGCCCAGCTGCCTTCAAGGCGTCGGCACAGGAGCGCCAAGGCTCCAAAACTTTCTTCATGGGGAGGTGAGCCCAACTCTAAAGAAATTCATATTTTGAAGCTCTGGACATCTGGACTTCAAGTTTCTATCCCTTGAGTGTTTCTACTATCATTTGCTAGAAACATATCAAACGGGGCGAGGTGTTGTATATTTCCTTCACTTGTTTTTGTAAGATCCTCTCACAGGCTCAGACAACGACCAGAACTTCCGCAGCACTTTTGCAGCATTTCCGGGTCACCTACGGATACGTTGCGAAAGTGCTGCGGAACCCCTGCAATGAACTGCTGCGGAAGTGCTGAAAAGGTGGTGGACTTCCTCAAAACTTCCGATCCGTTTGGCCTCGGATGTACCTGGAGCGATTTTTAGCGAATTCACCACGTATGAAATCATGTGCATGGGCGCATAGCTTTTGTAAGCTTATGTGCACATGCCAAATCTTGCCTTCAGAAAACGCGCTTATGAAGATTATGAACAACTGTAGCAATTAGAAATCCGGCGACGAGGCATGACCGTACTTCTTCTTTCAAATCAAACTTCATTTCAAGATACTCGTTTTCCATTTTTTTTTATCCTTGCATCTTCCGGTTCACACGGGGTCTGCTACTCTCGTAAGTCTCTTCCATTCTTCACGGTTCGATGTTTGGTTCTCATCTAATCCAAGCTCTCTTAGGTCTGATTTGATCTTGTCCATCCATCTCATTTTAGGTCTGCCTCTTGGCCTCTTTCCGGGAACATTCAGTGACAGGGCGAGTCTTGTGATATGGCTTTCTTCCCTTCTATTTACATGTCCGTACCATCGTAGGCGCTTCTTTTGTAGCTTCTTTATGATCGGAGCAACCTTCATTGTACTTCTGATGGTGTCGTTCGAGACGTGATCTAGCATGGTGACTCCAGTGGTCCATCGCAGCATTCTCGTCTCCATTACACCGAGTCTTCGTTCGTCGTTGCGTGTGCTCGGCCAACATTCGCTACCATAGAGGGCAGTTGGACGGATTATTGTACGGTATATCTGGGACTTGAGCTTCCGGGGTATTCTTCTGTCGCACAGGACTCCTGTGAGGCTTCTCCACTTTGACCAAGCCGCGTTGATCCTACCGAGTATCTCTTCGTGAAGGCTTCCATCTGCGGCGATACGACTTCCTAGATACTTGAACGTGGTAGTCTTCTTGATCATCGTGTTGCCAACTCGAATGGTTCCTGGGGTCTGGGCTCCAAGCTCCATGTATTCCGTCTTTACTGTGTTGAGTCTTAAGCCATGCTGTTCCAACTGAGTCTTCCACATCTGTACATCGTCTTCTAGCTCATTCCTGCTTCTTGCCATCAGAATCACGTCATCCGCATATATCACAGCCCATGGTGGTTGACGTATGAATCTGCTGGTTATCGCATCCATGACTGTGATGAAGAGTAGTGGCGACAGTACAGATCCTTGATGCACACCTGCTCTTATCGGGAATTCTTCTGATCTTCCTGCTGCTGATTGCACGTAGCTGGTCGCATTCTTGTAGATCATCTTAGTCCACTGCACGTACTCTTCTGGGACCATACGCTTTCGTAACGACCACCATATGATGTCATGCGGCACCTTGTCGAACGCCTTCTCCAGGTCGAGGAACGCTGTGTGCAGCTCACATTGTTTTTCCCTGCTTCTCTCCATCACTATTCTGGCGGTATGGATGGCGTCTGTCGTGCTGCGGCCTTTCACGAATCCACATTGATTGGATGCCAACTCTATGATGTTTCGGAGCCTCGTCTCTAGTATCCTTTCGAATATCTTCAACGTGTGGCTCATAAGTCGTATTGGTCTGTATGTGGAACATTCAGCTATATCGCCTTTATTCTTCCATATCGGTATCGTCGTACTTCTACACCAGTCGCTCGGCATCTTTCTGGAGTCTACTATTCGATTCAGCAGTCGCGTCAGCCATGTAACTCCTGTCTGTCCGCACTTCTTCCAGAACTCGCTCGGGATGTCATCTGGACCTGTTGCCTTGCCGTTCTTTGTTTTCATTATGGCGATTCGAACTTCTTCTTCCGTGATGGCCGGTACTGGTCCATGTACAGTCTCAGCCGCTGCAGCTGATGAGTATTCGTAGCTTGTGGATGCCGTTTCTGCGAAGTGCTCTCTCCATCTCTTGTTGATCTCTTCAGGTTTCCTCAACACTCTTCCATCTACATCTTTGATATTGCAGAAGTGCTCCACGTCTTTTGAGGCGTTTGCTCTTCTTCTTGCGAGCCTGTAGATCTCACGTTCACCTCCGTGACTGTGCAGCTTCCTGTATAGCTCCTCCACGTACGCTTCTTTCGCTTGTTTGACGCTTCGTTTCGCAGCTCGTTTGGCGTCTACATATGCCTGCCGCGTTTCTTCTAATTTTGTCTTCTGCCATATTTTGAAGGCTGTCTTCTTCTTCTTGATCACGGACTGCACGTCATCATTCCACCACCAAGTTTCCTTGTCGAGTTTTGTTCTTCCTGGCTTCGTACGTCCTAGTAGATTAGTGGCTATCCGATGGACGTTGTTCTTCAGATTCTTCCAGGAGTCTTCTGGCTCTTCTTCTAACTGTGGTAGGGCGGATTCCATGGCTGCTCTAACTTCGTCGTTGTCTCTGAGCTTCCACCATTTGATGCGTGCTACTTGCTCTGTCGTTGTTCTTCTTTGCCTGTCGATTGGAATATTCAGATCCAGAATCAGTGGTCGATGTTGTGGTATGCAGTCTTCACGGGTATGACTTTGCTGTTCTTCACATACTTGAGCTCGTCTTGTCGTACAGCCCAGAAGTCTATTTGTGATTTCCGATCTCCACTGGCGTACGTGATGAGGTGATTAGGCTTCTTAATGAAGTATGTGTTTGCTAGCGCTAAGTCATGTGCCGTGGCGAATTCCAGGATACGCTCTCCTTCTTCGTTGCGTGTTCCGTATCCGTGATTACCGTGACATTTACTAGCACCGTATCGTTGTTCACCGACATGACCGTTTAGATCAGCACCAATCAGTAGCATCTCGTCGTTTGGTATCAAGCTTGTGTAGTCGTCAAGTTGATTCCAGAATTCATCTTTCTCCATCTGTGTGCAACCCACTTGAGGTGCATAGGCGGTTATGATTCGGAGAATTTTCTTCCCGGTATCCACTCTGATGCACATAATTCGATCACTTATCCGGTCCACGCCAGCGATTCTACTCCTTAGTGCTTCTGAAACCACTATACCGACGCCGTTTCTGGTGTTACTCGAACCTTTGTAAAGCTTGTAGCCGTCTCCTATATCCCTCGACTTCTCCCCTTTCCACTTTGTCTCCTGAATGCAGGCGATGTCAACTCTACGTCTTCGTAGAAGATCAGCCAATTCGCGATGTCGTGCTGAGAGTGATCCTACGTTGATGGTGGCTAGACGTAACCTTGAGGACTTGAATACTCGCCTATGGTGAGCTAGCTTCTTCAACCGTCCCCGCTCACCCTGCTGAAACGGTAACCCTAGCATACTGTTCGCACTCGTCGGGCTCGAATGCGCGTCGCCTCCGGGGAACGCCCTAGCTTTTACTCGAGATATCCGATGAGACATACAAAAGCATCTGATGCGACGGGGTTTCTTCAGCCGGCTTGTCGCTTGCTTCCTTTGGATGAGCAGCCTGACGCTGGAATCGTGGGCAGAGCTTTTTGCCAAAGAAATTAGGCCCGCCGCGGAATCGAACCTGTGACCTTCCTCGCCGTGGTCAAGGGCACTAACCTCTCGGCCAGCTCTGCCCACTCGTTTTCCATTGGACTAAGCCAATCCTTCGGCGAAAATTTTTTCCAGATGCTAAAATGAGACGCAGGTAGCGAGGCGTCTTATCAGAAAAGCAAATTCCACAGTATCATTTTATACGAAGGCACGAACGGTCAGCATAGACGCAAGAATATAGAAACTTTAGCGAATATGGGTAGGAAGAATCGGCAAATATTATTAACTAGTTGACTTACCCGGCTCCGCCCGGCCCTGCCATTATTATATTCGTAATCAGCATGCTCGATTACCCCCCCCCCCTGTGCCAACTCCCAGCCCCGTAGCTCAAATTTTGCAAAAAAAATCGAAAATTTTTGCAGAAAATCGATAAAATCGATATCGATCGATGACGAAAAGTAGCCTATGACAACCGCCGGGGCCCGAAGTGTATGTGTGCCAAGTTTGGTCCGGATCGGTTCAGAAATGGAATTTTCTATTCGGAACATACGTGCATACATATATACATACATACATACATACAGACAGACAGACAAACAGACATTCAGCTTTATATATAAGATCAAAAGGCACTCATACAGATGGAGGAATAGAAAAGATGG